GGCCAGCTCAGCCCACCAGGGGGCGGGCTGGCTGGCATGTGGTGCTGGGGGATCGAACCGCGGTCCCTGATGCTTTTTGCTAAGCTTGTTCTAAGTAGGTGCTCTAGACCACTGAGCCATCTCTCCAGCCCATGGTGCAACTTGTGATCCCAGCATTCTGGGAGGCTGAAGCAGGATTAAAAACTTGCCCCTAGTCTATGCAATTTAGCAATATTCCTGTACCACTAAACAAAAATGACTTATAGTGGCATATGAGCCTTCATGAAGTGGTCCTGTCTTGTCTCTGACTACTGCAGCCACGTTCTGTGTCTATACCTTTTCACTTGATCTTTTCTCTCTGGAGGCAAGGCTAGTTCCCCGGGTTTAGGTCTCAGCTCAAATGGCACTGATCTGGATGACCTTCCCAGATCATTCAATATAATAAATGCCACATACTCTATGTCTTCACACTGTACATACTTTATTCTTCCTTCTTTTCTAAAACTTTTAGTTAGCAACTGCCTGACATAATCATTTAATACCTGTATTTGTCCAGGTGTGGCAGCGAAGGCCTGTAATCTTAACACTCAGGAAACTGAGGCATGAGAATCAGTTAGAGGCTGGTCTGGGTTACTTAGTGAATGCAAAGCCAGCCTAAACTATATAGTGAGACCCTGTATCACTTCCCACCTCAAACCCCACTCTTTCCTCAACTAGAGGAGAAATGTTGTGAGTATGCAGAACTCAAATGTTCACCATGTGGCCTCTGGCCCTCTAGCCACTCGCCCACCCTGCGTTCCATGAACCTGTAACTGTCTCTGACCCAAGTTTTGTTTTTAGGTTTTTGTTTGTTTTTTGCAGAACTGAGGGTTGAACTCAGGCCCTTGCGCTTGCCAGGTAAGCACTTATTCCACTGAGCCATCTCCCCGACCCTGACCCAAGTTTTAGTACTTCACAAAAACTACAGAGAAGAAAAATGGAGGGCCAGTCAAATAGCTCAGTGAATTAAAGCAACTGCAAGCAGGTGCAGGGGCTGGGGGTTTGATACCTGGGCCTGCCCTGCTGGCCCCACCACTAGGGTGTGATTGAGACTGGGCCTGGTGATGCGTGCCTGTAATTCCAGCTTTTGGGAGGCTGTAAACAGGCGGATCACTAGGAGTCTGATCTAGTAGTGAGACCCCGAACACACTGTAGACCTTTCCCTAAAATACAAAAAAAAAAAAAGAAAAATGGAAATATGGGCCTGGGAGATAGCTCAGCGCACTAAAGCGCCTGCTTAGGCAAGCACAGGGACTGCCATTGGATCCCTGGCACCACAAGCCGTACCAGCCCTGCTCCTGGGTGGGCTGAGCCAGCCACAGTCCAGGCCTAGTGGCACATGCCTATAATACCAGGGCTGGGTAGGCTGAAAACAGGAGGATCAGTATGAGTCTGGGCTATATAGTGAGACCCTGTAACAACCAAATACAATAAAAAAAAAAAAAGAAAAGAAAAGAAAAAGAAAAGTAAAATAGAAATAAGGAAAAATCTTAAAAAACTAATTAAGGGGCCGGGGAGACGCCTTAGTACAATAAGCTCTTCCCTGGCAAGCGCAAGGGTCTGAGTTCAATCTCGGGTTCCGCCAAAAAACAAAACAAAAAAATAAAATAAACTAACCTAACCTAACCTAATTTAATTAAAAAAAAAAAGACTGCAATCTCAGGGATATATTTACACAAAATTATCCACTGGCATTCCCTTTATTCATTTATGCTCCTTTCCTTCCACACCCACCACACCCAAATTCCTCAAGAATACTGTACGCCCATAAACTGGCTAGGTTAACAAAAGATAGGGATCTTGATTCTCAGATACCGGACAGGGTGCTGAATTCAAAGAATTCTTATCCATTTTAAAACAAAACCCGGCCCATGCCTGAACAATGGGCCAAGACCTTTCTGGAAAGTGGGCCACCTTTCGGAGTTCCCACCCCATCACAAGCAGCATAAAGGTCCCCAGCTCCAGGAAATCGGGCGACTCTCTCTCCTCTCAGAGCCTGCGCTCTGACTGCAAAGGGTCACAATTCAGCCTATTTTTTTTGTAGAAATTCTTTTTCCACCATGCGTGTCAGGGAACCCGCGACACGTCATCTGCGGGTCGAGGCGTCCATCTCTGCTTCGGCAGCCTCCTGGGGCTGGGTACAGTGACAACATCTGATGGCCTATCGCAAAACTCTTCCTCATGTCACTTTTCCAGTAATTCGGCAAGCACAACAGCTGCAGACGCGCTTGCCCCCACCGAGGCGCCTACTGTCCACTTAACTGGGAAAGACCCGCGACCCCCGAGGCGCAGGCGAGGCCCTGCTGGCCATCCTCGAGGCTGTCCGCCCTGTTCAGTACTCCAGCGCGGAAGACACTGGACCTTGTCCACAGAACCGTGGAGAACGCGACCCAGCGGGGCCCAACGAGCGGCGTAGGCCTTGGCCCAGGCGTCTGGAAACGCCGCTGCCAAGGGCGCCTGGACCGCGAGGGGCGCCGCTTAATGGCGGCGAAGGGATTCCAGCCAGCCTGGCTTCTGAACTGGCTCAGCTTAGGCCCCCCACGAACCGAAAATTCATGTCAGTGTGAAAAATGGGCAGCAGAGAGTGCTTTAACCCAGCTGCGATGTCGCCAACTGGACAACTCGCTAGAAAAAAAAATAAAAAGACACGGCGACCCATCATGGCTGCCGGCGGCGGCGCAGCGAGAAGCAACCAAAAGGAAATGGCGCCGGGCGCAGGGCCAGGCGCGGCAGCCCCGGACGGCGAGGCGAGAGGGCCGCCGAGGTCACCCACGAGGGTCCCCCGAGGACCTCAACACCCTCCTGGCTTCTGGCACCTTGCAAACTCTGAAGCTGTAACATAAAGGTTACTGTCTGCAAAATGACTCGCACTTGCAAGGCCCTAAATTCCATCCTGCGGCAGAACCCGGCAAAATATTCTCTAAACGGAATGCACTACGCATACTGCGCATCTCCGCAATAATGGGCCCGCTAACGACGCAAAGAATGTTACGTCGCGACGGAGTCTCTTCCCCCGCCCCACCCCACGTTCTAGTTTCGGCGGCGCGAGAACTTTACGTCCGCTCCGTATCTTGTGTTTCTTTTGCGAACCGTAAAGCGTACCGGCTCTCGCAACTGACGTAAAACGCTTCCGAGAATATCCGTAACGCCCCGCGGAGCCCTCGGGCGATTCCGAGACCCTGTTTACGTATCGTCTCCGCCGTACGTAGCGTGAAGTTGGAGCAGGCTCAGCGGCGGCCGCCATTTTGTGCAGTCGCTGAGGAGGAAGGAGACGCCTAAGCCGCGGCAGTGCCGGGTTTGAGCGTAGCCAAACCTACCCACCGTTTTTATAACCCGATTCTCTGTGTTTTGCTCCCGTCTCCGACGAGAGAGGCGGCGACGGTGGCGTCTGCGACGGGAGACAGCGCGTCGGAGCGAGAAAGCGCCGCGCCTGCCGCCGCCCCAACAGCGGAGGCGCCGCCGCCATCGGTCGTCACCAGACCGGAGCCGCAGGCCCTCCCGAGCCCGGCCATCCGTGCTCCGCTCCCAGATCTCTACCCGTTTGGGACCATGCGCGGAGGCGGCTTTGGGGACCGGGACCGGGACCGGGACCGTGGCGGGTAAGGGGGGAGGGGGCTGGATGCGAGGCCCTGCGTGTGCGCGGGGAGGGGGAGGGGGCTATTTCCCGAGGCCGAGCGGGCTCCGCGGCACAATGGCGGCCTTGGGCGGCGGGGGCCCGGCGGGAGGGGCCCCGCTCCGGGCCTGGACGCGAGGCCTGGTCACTTGGCTTGGTCACTTGATCCCTGCGCGTCGCAGTGACTGTCTGGAAAAGACGCTCTAGACGCTCTTGTGCTGCCTCGGGAAATCCAGCTCGAAATGGCTCCCTTTACGTGACGTCCCCAGCTCCCTGTTGAAGATCAGTCTGAAGAGCTACTTCTCATTTTTTGTTTCCGTGCTATGGATCGAACTCTGGGCCCTGAGCTCCTGCTAGGCAGTTGTTACATCTCTACTGTAGTTCTGACTTTAAAACAGTATTTTAATCCCTTTTAGTCACGGTTTGTGCAATTCAAAGGAAGCACGTAGAAATGTAAAGTGGTGAAGTCGCTTACTTAGGGGAAAGAAGAATCTGGAGAGATGGCATTATTCTAATTTTAACTTTTTTATTTTTTTACTTTTCTGTGTTCCAGTGTTAACTTCTCGGCCTAGTCTGGAGAATTTTGATATAATGCCCCTTGTACTATCAGGGATGTAAAGATAACAGGATTAAACTTGAATTTCTTCGAGATACTGAGATTTTTAGGGTCTTTTCATGTCAACTCAATGATTTCTTGCTTAACAGATACGTGTTATGCCAGGGTGTTTGGTTTTTTTTTTTTTTTTGTTTTGTTTTGTTTTGTTTTGTTTTTTTATCCTTTTGAAACAGAGTCCCTGTGCAGCTCAGGCTGGTCTTTAGCTCACTTTGTAGTGCTGGCTGGTCTCATAATTTGCAAGGATCTTCTTGCTTCAGCCTCCCCAGTGTTGAGATTACAGGCCTGCGCCACCAGGCCAGGCATTTTGTTTTTTGTTTTTGATACGGTGTCTCACTGTAATTCAGGTTGGCTTTGAGCACCCAGCAACCCTCTTGCCTTGGCCTTCCCAGTGAAGTGGTGAGATAACAGTCATATGCTACTGCTATGACTTTGGGCTCATCCTTCATTTTTGTGAGCCCTTTTTTTTTTTTTTTTTTTTTTTTTTTTTTTTTTATGAACAAGTATTAGAATAGTCACAAGCACTTCAATTATCTTTAAACTTCAAACTTTCCACTTCCCAGTTAGGAAGGGAAATCTGATCTTTTGTTAGATGTGGAGAGGAAGGCTAAAAGTTGAAGTGTTCGTTTAACATTTCACAGTTAAGCAGAGATTAGATGGGAATTTAAATGCTGCTGCTTAGATAATACCTAGTAAATTTGACAGTGACCCCGTAATTCTCAGTTTTACACCCAGGCTTATCCTAAAGACCGGGTAAAACCTTTGCACATGTGATCCAGGAACCATGTATAAAACCATTTATCCCAGCATTGTTAGTGGGAATATCATCTTTGAAACTCAGTGTCCCAATAAGTTGTGGTTATTTGTGTATTTGAATACAATATAACAGTGAAAAAGGAAAACTTGATGATATCAGATGATTCTCAAAACATGTTGAGGTTTTTTAAAATTTTTGTTGATGCCGGGTCTCACCACGCAGCAGATTTGTAGTGATGCTGCTGTCTCAGCCTCCCCAGTGCTAGGATAACATACATCACCATCCCCAGTTTTGGTGGCTGGCACAGCGTGCCTGGAGTTCCAGGGCCAGCATGTAGTGCTGGGATCCAGGTCCTTGCCTTGCCAGACAGGCACTTAGATCACTGAGCAATCTTCCCAGCCAACATGTTGAGTTTTTAAAGTAGTTTGACTTATTTAGGGGACAGGTAAATGGAACCGAACTATAAAGACCAAAGGGATGGTTAATACAATCCAAGGTAGTTAATGGTGGGGGTTGTAAACTTCAAAGAGGCATGAGGAGGCTCGCAAAGTGTTAATAGTGGTATTTTTTCACTGTGGGTCATATTTCATCATAAACATAATAATTTGAAAAGAGAAATGAAGTAAATCCGTGTCCAATATCAGTTTATTGAGTATTAGATGACATGTAAAAATGGAAAGTTTTTTTAAGCCCACCACAAAATCACACCCTTTGATAGGGTCTGTGCCCTAATTACCCTCACTTGAGTTTTCCTTTGTGCTTTGAGTTGCTGCTGTTCTGCTATTAAAAGTTACAAAGCTGAATTAGTTGTAAACAATGGGTTTGGTTATTTATTGTGTAGCCAAATTTATCTGCTACTCACTTGATCACAGTGAACAGCAAAGTGGAACAGGAAGTGGGCTATGTGTGTTATTAATGGTGGTGTAGATAACTGCAAGGGTAGAAAGTTTGGCAGCATATTTTGTAAGAACCTTCTATTTTTACTTGAATCTTTAGGACAACATAAGCGCACCTTCTTGAAGAGGACCTATACGTAGAGTCCTTTTAACCAATTTACAAGTAGAGATGACCAGTCCAGATGGCCTTTGGTCTATATACCATTTACTGGAAGCCTGAGAACATGATACTGATAGGTATTTTGTTGCTGTGTGCATCACCTACTTTTTTATGTTTTTTACTGGATTAATAGCAGTATAGATGGTGTCTGTTTACTCTTGTTTATTGCATGTAGAGACCCACAATACCAACACAATTTTCTGTCAAATCTGTAATTAGAGAAATAACTGACTGGTCTTTAAGCCCCAGGAGATTGAAGCTCTTTAAGATAGCTACTGTTAGGGCCAGTCAAATCACTCAGCGGATTATAGGCAGAACTCGGACTTTGATCCGCAGAACACACTGAGACCGCGATTGAGACTGGGTGTGGTGGTGTGTACCTGTAATCCCAGCTCTTAGGAGGCTGTACACAAGACGATCACTACAAGTCTGATCTACGCAGTGAAGCCCTGTAGACCATGTCCTTAAAAAAAAAAAAAAAGATAGCTACTGTTGGTGGGCACTGTTTTACATTGCCTGTAATTAGGACAGGAGGCTGAAGCAGGGGGATCACAAGTTGGAACCCAGCTTTGGCAGCTTAACAAGACTGTCTCAAAAGTAAAAGGGCTGGAGAAGGAGCTCTGTGCAAAGGCCCTGGGTTTAGCCCCCAGCCCTGGAAAAGTAGACATTTCCTGTAAGATGTTATGGGTTAAAAGAGTGGGAAAAGCAAATTAAATTCAGTAGGGAGTGAAGGAAATGAGATGAAAAAATAACTATAGTTTCTATGTTAAAATCTTGCCCTTTACATAGAGTAATACAGAGAAATGAAGGCCATCTTAGTGTTACAATTCTTCCAGAAAAAAAGTACTTGTATGTAATATGTTATATTTTAGGATTGGCCAATGGCCATGTTTATGTTTAGCTTGCTAGTTAAAAAAACTTGAGCTTGAGTTTTAAAAGCTGTTAAATACAGTTTATTGATGGTCTTTCCTCTTAAGTCTGCTCAGGCTTCTGTGTTATCATAGACTACCAGTGCTTTATAGGTCCCAGTAGTTTTTGCACATTGGTGGAACAAGTGTTCTTTATGGTCTGAATGAGGAAGTGATCTGAAAAGCTGTTCAAAATTTGGGGAAATTAATTTTCCTCCCATCCACAGCAGTGTTCTTTAAACTTTAATTCCCTCCCCTCTTACACAAGATAGTAATGTTTTATTCTGTTCATATCACCAGCACCACATTAAAAAAATGTAGTTGAATGAATAGGTGACAGTTGAGTGTTGTGTCAGATACTGTTCAGCACTTACCGTAAAATAGAGGTGGGGAGCTGGTAGTATGGAAGGAGTCCCATCTTTATGTACATTTTCAAAGGATATAACGTTGCTTTAAAAATAGTAATTAGGGGCTGGGAAGATAGCTTAGTAGAATAAGTGCTTGCCTATAAGGTCCTGAGTTCATTCCCCAGTTCTGAAAAATAAAAATAAAAAATATTAATTAACTAAAAATTCTTGCTGTTTCTAGATTTGGAGCGAGAGGTGGTGGTGGTCTTCCTCCAAAGAAATTTGGTAATCCTGGGGAGCGTTTGCGTAAAAAGAAGTGGGATTTGAGTGAGCTCCCTAAATTTGAGAAGAATTTTTATGTGGAACATCCAGAAGTGGCAAGGCTGACTCCAGTAAGTGTGTGTGTATGTGGGGTTTTTTTTGTTTGTTTGTTTTTTTGGTGGAACCAGGGATTGAACTCAGGTCCTTGCCCTTGCCAGGGAAGAGCTTATTCCACTGAGCCATCTCCCCGGCCCCTGTGTGTGTTTTTTTAATACAGATAAATGAAACAGAAGTATGCTTGTTGCTGTTTTCTACTTTGTTATAAGGTTTTTAGATTAAGACTACATTATGCACATAAGAGTTTGTGTTTTGTCTTGCTTTTTGTTTGCGGAACCAAGTATTAAACTCAGGCCCTTGGGCTTGTCAGGGAAGCACTCATTCTATAGAGCCATCACCCTGGCTCCTACATAAGAGTTTAAATGTACATTATGCATTGCTTGGTATTTTGATTTTTTTTTTTTTTTTTATGTCCCAGGAATCAAACTCTTGGGACCTCGTGCTTGCTGAGCAGGTGCTGTGCCACTGAACTATAGCCCTGGCCCCTTTGCTGTTTTATCTTTTGCATATATTGTTTTAACCGTATGTTAAGTCATTTTCATTGATGAGATAAATTTTAATAGTAAATTGTTTTTTGACTTCATGATTGTTTAGGACTCCACCCATGAAGTGGTTACTTATTTAGAAAAATAATTTAAAACAGCACCTGGCCCCACTGCCCATCCTCTCTCACTTCCTAGTTCTAACCTTAAGGAGAAGTTACTTGCTCCTCCTGTGTATGTTTCTTTGCACTATTAACTCATAGAAAAATGCTTGAGGCTGGGGAGATGGCTCAATAGAATAAGTGCTTGCCTGACAAGCAGAAGAGTCTGAGTTCAATCCCCAGCTACACCAAAAAAAAAAGAAAAGAAAAAAAAATCCTCAAAGTTGAAAGCATAGTATATATTTACCATCAGTACTGTGGGTTGAGTGATAGTTATTTGGCTGATAGAAAGTTTTGGATATGCATAATAGCTTTTACTAATTCGTCTTCATTTTTATCTGAAAGTATGAAGTTGATGAGCTACGCCGAAAGAAAGAGATTACAGTGCGAGGGGGAGATGTTTGTCCTAAGCCTGTCTTTGCCTTTCATCACGCTAACTTCCCACGTAAGTACTCTTCCACCCAGAATCTTCCTGGGCATGAATGGTCAGCACCTGTAAATACCAATACTGGGGAGGCTGAGTCAGGTGAATGGACAGGAGTTCAAAACCAACCTAAGCTCCATAGCAAAGCCTTGTCTCAAAAAAACCTAGAATCTTGATTGTTAATTTTTTTTTTTTTTAGCTATTTATTTATTTTTTGGGGGGCAGAACTGGGGATTGAACTCAGGCTCTTGTGCTTCCAAGGCAAGAGCTTATTCTACTGAGCTATCTCCCTGGTCCCTTAGCTATTTTGATTATGTTGTGTCTAGATTGTTAAATTTTGATGGTTAAATTTTGTTGAGTACTGTTTAGGCAGAACGCAGAGGCTGGGGTTCAATTCCCTGGCCTGCCATGCCAGCCCCACCCTCCGGGGCACACTGAGAGGATAATTCGAACACTGGGCATGGTGGCACACATCTGTAATCCCAGCACTTGGGAGGTGTGAGGCATGAAGATCTGTCAGTTTAAGTCCATTCTAGACGCCATACTAAGACCTTGACCCAGTATTGTTGAAAAGACAAAATTTTTATAAAAGCAGTAACTTAAGTAATGGTTTTGTCTTTGTTACTGAGATAAAATTGCCCAATGTCCAAAGTTAACAGAAGAAATATTTGGCTTATAGTAGAGGTTTCAAACCCCCTTTTTTTTTCTTTTTGTGGTACTGGTGCTCAAACTCTGGACCTTGTGCTTGCCAGGCAGGCACTGAAGCCACTAAACTATGTCCCTGGCCCCTTACCGTAGTGGTTTCAGTCCATAGTTGACTGGCTTCCAAGGGAGGATGGTACATGGCAAAGGGACATTGCCAAGCGAGAAGCTTGTTGCAGGCAGAAGGCAGCAAAAGCAAGCAAAGGACACCACAGCTGTTTCCCTCTTAGCCAGGCTGTTTAGCACATCCTTAATCCTAGTGTCCTTGAGCCTAGCGTTGCACTATAAACCAGTTCTAGCTTCACACACTCTGGATCCAGCCACCTCTGAAAAAGCCCACCTGTGACCACATGAAGACATCTAGAAACAGTCCTTAACAGGTTTCAAAACACTTAACTGCTAAAGGGTAGTGCTAAATATGTTGGCGTGTAAGAATTTTTTATGCTTATCTCTTCTCTAAATGGACCTCCCCCCCCCCCCGCTTCATTTGTCCATTCTCCGGTTTGCTGCTCCTTTGTACAGAACAGCAGAATGAAAGTTCTTTCTACCCAAGTATAAGAATTTGGCAAGCAATGACTGTTGTAAACTTTTTCCTTAAACAGGTGCTGTAGGATAGTGGTTTTGAAAGGTAGTGATAAGTTGGATGTCGATTCCTCTGTTTCTTTCCTTTTTTGGTATCAAGGATTGAACTCAGGATCTTGTGCGTGCCAGGCAGGTGCTTATGCTGCTGAGCTGTTTCCCTGGCCCTAGATTTCTTTCTTTTGCTTTTTAAGGCAATAATATGTTTATTCTCTTTACAGAATATGTAATGGATGTGTTGATGGATCAGCACTTTACAGAACCAACTCCAATTCAATGCCAGGGATTTCCATTGGCTCTTAGTGGCCGGGATATGGTGGGCATTGCTCAGACAGGCTCTGGGAAGACATTGGCAGTGAGTATCAGCAAGTGGAGATATTTGGCCTTGTGGTAACTTACTTTGCTATCCCGATTGTCACAGAAGTGTAATTCAGTAGGGTAGGTAACATGTTAGCCATCAAATACATGGACATATTTCATGTTCTGCCGTACATTGCATGGGAGGTGGGAGTAGTAGATTCTGCTTTTCATGTTGCTGTTTTGGCATTGTTACTGTTCTATGTTAGAATATTAAGATGATTACTTAGTTGTAGTGTAAAATTTTGTTCTTTTTCTTCCCCAGTACCTGCTGCCTGCAATTGTTCATATTAACCACCAGCCGTACTTGGAAAGGGGAGATGGCCCAATTGTAAGTGTGTTTTGTTCCATTTATAGTTTCAAGAAGAACTACAGATGAATGATTGTTGTATTTTAGGCACTGTTTTACTCACATTGGTGAATTTTATTCTTAAGTCCTTCTGTCTATATCTGCACAGGGTATTACTACCTCATTTTAGGATTAAACGACTTGCCTAGTCATACACAGCAAGCAAATGGCTTATCTTGGGTTTGAACCGTTCTTATACTTAAGTGCTGATTTTAGTGCATATTGTATTCATTTGTGGCCACTTTTGGGATGGGGACAGGTCCTTGCTCTGCAGTTTAATTCACTATAGCCCAGGCTTGCCTCAGACACACGTGCAGCTAATCTGAGACCCACAAGTTGTTGGTATTATAGGCACATACCCCACACATTTTGAGGTACTGTCTAAGTTGCCCAGAGTGCTAGGATTATAGCAGCATACTGCCATAGTCTGCTTGCTTGGCCATTTTCTTATATGTGCTGATATTTATCCCATTGTTTCATTGTAGGACTATTTTTAAGTACATTTACTTGTTCTGTGAGAATTGTGTAGTTCTTAAGACTAGGTCAGTGATAGTGAACCTGTTAGAGCCTTCAGTGATAATAAACAGGCCAGTGAGACATGTGTGTCATAGGTTCACCACCATTACACTAGGTAATACAAATCCACTTAAGTGGTATGTATAAACAAATGAATGACAGTATCAACATACTAAATAGACATTGTCATCACTTTTTACTCACAGTCCAGTGTAATTGTACTTAAGCCTCCTGGCATCCCAGTACCCCACCCTAACACATACCATGAAAAGTATTATACAGGGAAGAATTAATTACATCTTTGTACTTTCTTGTTTCTAGGGATTGTTTTGCTTAACTTGGTGTAGGTGTCTCAAGTGGGTTTTTTCCCGTTTTAGTGTCTAGTTCTGGCTCCTACCAGGGAGCTTGCTCAACAAGTACAGCAGGTGGCTGATGACTATGGCAAGTGTTCAAGATTGAAGAGTACTTGCATTTATGGAGGTGCTCCTAAAGGCCCCCAGATTCGAGACTTGGAAAGAGGTACTTTGATAAGAATACTTTAGTGAATAAGAATAGTTTATCTTTTAGCAATTTCTGTGTATGCAGTTGAAAAAAAAAAGTAGTGGGTTCTTGTGGGGAAAAAAAAATTCACTATGACAAGCCTAAAAATTCTCAGATAATTGGGAGAGGACTTTCACCTTAGCTGGAGACTTTGTAAGACTGATGGTTGTGGTTGTGTTTTCCTTAATATATATATATATATATATTTGTTTTGTTTGCTTGTAATCTTTTATTATTTATTCCATACTTATGCGGTACAGGGGCTAGCTACACAGCGAGAGGATTGTAATGATCCTCTTGTCTCAGCCTTCCCAGTGCTGGGATTACAGGCATGTGCCACCACACCTGGTTTTAATGGGTGGCTTGGCTTGGGCCAGCACCACATGTGGTACAAGGGATCGAACTTGGGTCTTTGCGCTTGCCAGGCAGGCACTTAGACCGCAGAGCTATCTTCACAGCCCTACATTATATTTTTGAAGCCACTGCTCTGCAGCATTTGTGCAAGATGTGAAGATCACCAGAGCTGGTCTTTTCGATTTGAATGGTCAGGCTTAGATAGTAGACAAAGAATTGCTAATGAGTTAGATATTTATGTTTTACAGGTGTTGAGATCTGCATAGCTACTCCTGGACGCCTGATAGATTTCCTAGAGTCAGGAAAGACAAACCTTCGCCGCTGTACTTACCTTGTTCTGGATGAGGCTGATAGAATGCTTGATATGGGCTTTGAACCTCAGATCCGTAAAATTGTTGATCAAATCAGGGTGTGTATGGTGTATATGTCACACTTTTGTTATCTTTTGATGGTTATGTAGTTCCTTACTCTCAATGACCTTTACTTTCTTGATAGCCTGACAGGCAGACATTGATGTGGAGTGCAACCTGGCCAAAAGAAGTAAGACAGCTTGCAGAGGATTTCTTGCGTGATTATACTCAGATCAACGTGGGCAATCTGGAGTTGAGTGCCAACCACAACATCCTTCAGATTGTGGATGTCTGCATGGAAAGTGAAAAAGACCACAAGTAAGAAAGATTCTACTCTGTTTAGTAATACTGATAAATTGTTCCTAATAATCATGCAGAAATAAAGTTAGAAAAGTAGTATTTTTTGAGGCCTGCAAAAATTAGAAACAGGGCTGGCCAGATAACTCAGAGGATTAAAGCGCCTGCTTAGGCAGAGTGCAGAGACTGACTGGGGTTGCTGACCCTGCCCCCAGGGCACACTGAGATAGTGCTAGAGACTGGATGTGGTGGTGTGGGCCT